GTTACAAGGATCTTATCCTAGTCTGTTAGTACTCCGTTGTACTTACAGTACAAGTTAATGTTAGTAAGGAATGTCTATAGTTTGGTGTGGGTTCCGTCGAACTTCTTAGGTGCCGCTATCTTGGGCTTTGTGAGGGATCTCTTCTCATTTAGGGTGGCCATTAGCTAACTCGAAAGCTAATTAATCATATCCTGCATGCTGGCCATCTGCCGCTGCGTGATTGTGGCCTGTCGCCTAAGATTCCGCAACTCTCGTAGGTTTCGTGCGTCTTCGTCCTCATCTTCGTCGTCACTTGGGGTTAGCATCTCGTCGTTGGATGCTAGTTGGGGCACTAGTCTAGGACCTTGTACTAGTCCGCTGGCACTAGCCTGGGATTAAGAGTGATTATAAGACATTGTGAATCTTAATTAGGCGTACTGTTGGTTAATCCTTCTACAAAGACTTAGTGGTGGTCAAAGTGTTACACAGGGGTCGGCTATACTTCTCTAGTCTTAGTCTAGGTTAGGGCGAGTAGACTAAAGCGGTAGTCCGTGTGATTATTTGCGAAGTGCTATGTGGAAAAGAGTTATAGGATTTAACCAAAAGAATAAACAATTAATTCTATACTAAGATAGAATAACTAGTATCAATCTATGTAAGAGATGAACTATTCTGAAGTTGACCACAACGAGTGTAATAATGAAATCCAACCCATTCTTATACCCATTGCCTTAGGTCCTGCCATCCCGTCCATCCCATCTTCGTGTCCCTTGGCGGGATGGTTGGGATGGCCTGCTATCCCATGTCCTGCTGCCATCCCCATCTTGGCGGGATGTCCTGTCTTGGCGGGATGGCACATCACGTGACTCCAAGCCCCGCGATAGCCATTACCTTCTGACGTGGACGTGGTTGGCCTCCAACCCCGTCATCCTGCGTCAAGGAGAGAATCCTTCTTGTTACGAGTAACAGCTACCCCAGTATATAGGCCACTTCCCTATAATATCCTACCTTTGCAACAACAACGCGTAATGTCTTAACAACATAATATATTAAAAACTTATACTAAAGTAGATCTATTTCTTAATTTTACTAATTTTAATTTTAAATAAATTTAGAGTAAATAACACGCTGCTACTACCTATAGCGTCCTACAAACAATAATCTAGCGTTGATAAGCTAGATAGCGCCCTTAAAGTGATTAGGAGCTACTAGTAAGGCGCCTAATAAAACTAGAAGAGGAGGCTATTACTATACGTGTAATAGTTAAGGCTAAGCGAGGACTACCCTATAGGAAAGACAACGTGCAAGATATGGCTAATAGACTACTCTAAGAGCGTGGCGAGAAGGAGGTAGGCAAGAACTAGGTTAATAGGTTTGTCTAGCGTAATTCTAAGCTACGTACGCGCTAGAGCTATCTATATAATTACTAGCAAGCTCTCTATAAAGACCTAGCGCTTATTAAGGGCTAGTTTAAGCTAGTTTAGAATATAAAGGTAAAGTATACTATTATAAATAAAGATATCTATAACTTTAATACGACTAGCTTTATTATAGGCAAGATTTTATTATAGTTATTTATTATAAGCTTAGATAAACTAAAGAGAATAAAGAAGATCTAGCTAAGCAATTATAAGTAGGTTACGCTAATATAAGGCTTTAGCGCAATAAGCACGCGTATCCTAGCGTTTCTTATTTTTACTAGCAAAGTTCTAATCTCTACCTAGTTTATAGAGGATCTGCCACGCAACTAGGTAATCTAAGTCAGTTCTACTAGCTAGATAAATAATAATCTAGCGCTTAACTAGCTTTGTTACTTTAATTCTTATACGCAGCTCATAGGGACGTATAGGCTACTTATTATTAATAGCTATAAGAGCTACTACTTAGTAGATTTCTAAGATCTCTACAAAGAGATAAAGATATTCCTCCTCTATATACCTCCCCACTCGTCGCACCTCTTATAGCCTCTTAATATAGGCTACTCTTTGCTATTAAAGCGCGCGTATAATAATGCTATCTTAGTCTTAGCACGTAATCGCATCTACTATATTAGTATAGAAACCTTTCTACTAGCGTTTAGAAAGGCTTATTATAAAGGTATTACACTAGAAAATATCTATAGAAGGTTCTAAGGTGCTAGACTTTTACTATACATTTATAACGTTATTTTATTATAGCTTAACGTTATACTACGTACGCTAACTCTACTAGCGTAAGAGACTACTACTTAAGAGCTAAAAACGCCGTATAACGCGCGTAAAATAGAGGCGTAGGCTACGCTTATATAAAACCATATATAAATCTAGCAAGGGTCTCCTATAAGTTCTCTTAAGGAGTAGATATAGTAATTAAGTAAGAGAGCTTAGTAAATAGCTTATAATATAGTGTTAATATAGGAGAAACTTAATCGCCTTAAAGCTATAATTACTAAAGTAATAAAGCGAAAAATTTATAAGAGGCGCTACGTATAGGTAGAAAGGTCCTAAATAATTAGCTAGATAGCTAATTAGATTACTAAGGTAGAGGGTAGTAGCGATAATAATAGTATAACGTCTACAAAGAGGGTGCGTAGTAAACAGCGCTACAAGCGTTGTAGCTAAATTAGACACAACTCTTGCACTTATTAAGTAGAATGAAAGAATATAGAGGATAGCAATACGTTTAAAGAAGAATATCTTATTCTACTTAATAAAAAACATTATAGTAGTGTTGCGCAATACTATTACAAAGATATAATAGTTTAGGGAGGTGGCCTATATACTAGGGTGGCCCGCTTACTGGTGAAACACGTTAAGTTTTAAAATCTCTAACGTATGTGGCAAGCGAGCGCCGCAGGCAAGCGAGCGCCGCACCCCACCAAACCTGCGCACCTCTCCTATCTCAACGAACAATGGCTCAACGTAGCGCTACTCAATTAGCTTTGAATAAAGCAGATATTCAGCTTGCTATTTCTTCTATTAATCTCTATTAAACACAAAGTAATCGTCGCGCTGCTGCTGTCTACAACGTGTACTAAACGAACAACTCCGCCACCGACGCGCTGGTACTACCTGCTCGACGCGTATT